GTGACCCTCAGAAGTCTGGCATGCAGCATCTCTCCCTCTAAGGCATGGATCCATCAGCCTTAGTCTGGAGCAACAGTGGCTATCTGAAAAAAGCTTGGCAGGAGGAAGGCAGGCATCCTCCAGATTTGAATCTGTAGACTGCTGTGTCTGTTACTCTATATAACAATATAAAAAAGACATATCCCTTCTGCTTCTTCAACCATAGCATTATATAAATATGTTGTTGTGTCGTTGATGGTAAAACTCCTTAATCATTTCAAGTTGTTTGAAGGTCTTCAAGGTTTCGTCACTAGTTTGCTGTGATAAGCAACCCATAGTAGCTCTTGCTAAAAGTTTCAGGAAAGTCATTAACACATATTTTCCCGTGTAAGGAGTCTAGCAAATACTATTCGTTTAGCTGCAAAAGAAGTCTCGGCAGCTGGTTATTGAAGACCCCTTTTAGGTTTATCTTTGTCAATTGTCAAATATTTGAGTGTATGAAGTGGTGTGATGAGGTGCAGAGACAGATATTTGAAGGGATTTTAACTCATTTGAGCAATTACATGCTTAACTGGCCCAAGATAATCTGTCATCCAAAGCTTCTGTCTCTGGCTCTCCCTCTCTTTTCCGATCCTCCACTCTCTCATACCCTCCTACGTGGCACAAGAGAAGCTCAGAATAGTGGGATTTAGAGCACAAAAGCTTACCCTGAATGGAATGAAGGCCTCGGAGAAATTAATTGCTTCTAACAAACAGCATGACTGCTAGCATGTTTTGTGTTCCATTCTTATCAGCCTCCAGATGTAGAGGGGTGGGCGACCGGTCTGGAGAGGGTGAACCTACAAACGAGGGAAGGGCTACAGGAATTTGTACTTGCATTATTTGAACGTTTTCTTTAAAGGATAAATAGCAGCAAATGCCTATACATCTATGCAGTGTATTTATACAAGTATGTGCCTTGTAAAGTCTATAATGCTCCCAGTTGCATCAGAGACAACTGCATTCATCCAATACATAACCTTTGAAATTGTTGAAAACAAATAAATGCTGCTAAATATATAAGTATATTTCAATTTCCATTAAGGATGCAATTTAAAAAAAGGCCCTTGCATGACGAAACAAACGGATGACAGGGATATGTCATTTACTTTTAGCCTAAAGGATATTAAACTTTCATTGTATTCACTGCATTAGGAACTAAAAAACATTGTTTAAAGGTTACTTTTTCACAAACGTATCTTTGCAGAAATAAAGATATTTAAAGCAAAGTTGATATCCTAGGATCTCTGAATTGCAGAATAACCACAAACGGCCTGTAAACCATGTATTTCTCCATTAATGAAAACAAATAAACATCTGTACAGTAGCAATTAACTGTATAGATTTCGAGAGCGTTCAGGGAAGCATTAGCTAAGGCAGTTATGGGATTTGCTATTGTGAGGGTGTGTGGCATATTTGCCCCAGTTCTGTTCTCTACTTGCTCCCACTCCCACATGTCACCATTCTGTCTACCACCACCAGCGTGGCATCTATCATCCACCACAGACGCCGCGGCACCCCACAAAAGGAGGCTGGAGCATGCACAAAGACATTTGCATTTTTGCATCTCATTATGGTTATAATTGCATGCCAGTGTAAGCAGCTCGCTCTCCATTATCTCGCGTTATTTTATCAGTGACGTTTGAAACGTGTTTAAATGTCAATTATTGACTACAAAAAAGGAGTGACCTTCTTGGAGTCATCTCTGTCTCTATCCTCCAGCCACTATTCACTCGTCCCCACTCTCTCTGTCCACGCGTGGTCTTATCTATTCCTTATGTCCTCTCACTGTTCTGCTCGCTATATGTTGACAAACTAAGCTTATCGCATTTTATGACAACAGTCAGTTGACATGCTGTTAATAATGTTTACTCACTGTCATCAGCTTTCTTAAGATCTTATTAAAACAACAGCCATAATAAAGAAATTGTTCGAGACAATGACACACCTCAACACAACATCAGTGATATGTAATCAACGAGGTACAGGCTTAACTTGTATTTAATTGATTAGGACTTTTTAATAATACAGTGGATCCATGCACCATGGCATTGCTGTCATCCAGTCATTTATCAAAAAAAGGGTAATCTATTAAAGTGGAGTTTAAAAACTGCTATTACTGCCATTACTTTTCACATGTTTTGTACTGAATATTTACAATATTTAGTTTATACAATAGTTTGATATTTGAAATCTAAGGAATTCATAGTGACTTGTTTATAGATTGTTCTTGAATGACAATCAACATACTTTTTGGTGCTAAACACAGAAATACCATTGTTGTAAAAAAAAAAATGTTTACCATCAGTAAAAATCTCATTTGGTATTTCTATTCAAAAACATATTTGTTATAATAACACGTTATAATAATAGAGCTTTTAAAAAAATTATTATAGCAAAACAAAAGTTCAGGCACTGGTGCCTCACACTTCAACACTTCTGCAAATAACGAATAAAAGCCTTTGGAAGAACTGAAAATGTGTCAATTTCTTTTTTTACGTCCTGTAAAGTAATATAATAGGGATTGTCATTTCTCTACAGACACTAATGTACATTATGCTCTTCTGAGAGGGAAGTCCTTCTCCATTAGAGCCCTTTTGGTTGTGATATTCAGGATGTTGCATTATTACTTATCGGACAGCATGTGCAGTGATCTGCCTAACCCTCAGCCATCAGAATCATTTCTAAAATCCTATTACTTTCACAATGGATAAAGTCTCACAAAATGGCATCTTATTATATTAAAGAAGCATACTTGTTGAAGGCAACAACCTGTCTTGATTCGACGACATATCCTTTCTAGTAAAACATTTAGAACTTTTCTCATAACCAGATAATGTGTTTCTTTTCTTACTTTCTCACATACTGTATAAAGTGTTGTGGCATTAGTGTACCTCTAAAGTAGATATTGTATCAAGGAAGAGTGGAGTTTGATATATTCATAATTAATACGACTCTATTTGTTGTTTTCCTTGCATACATTATAATATAAAAATACTTGTTTTCCAAACTTCAGTTCCATCCAAAATATCCTGAACATATGTTTTCAAAGCTTTTGAAGAATTGAATTGATTTTGTTTTGTTTCTCTCCTCTTTAATCTCCTCATTATATAAAAGGCCATCCTTTGTTTTTCACCAGAAGGATGAATAATGAATGAATAGAGGATCAAAACTCTTCATTACTTCTGAATTCTTATTTGAATCAATTGATAAATGGAGACATTGAATGGATATTCCTCTTATAACTACACACTGCATATAATTGTTAATACTGTGCAGTATAATGTATGGAAACGTGTAATTTATACTACATAGTACTGCAGCAGAATGAGCATGCATGTAATGAGCTGACAACCAGAGGAACACAATCTTTAAGAGTTTATCAAACTACTCGCACCTTCTAATTAAAGGAAGCACAACCCACCAGGATACATTTACATTTGGTTTGATCTGGAGCAGAAAATCTCCCTATTAGCATCCACCTCCCCATGAATGTGACAGTAATTGCAGTCTCACTCTGTTCCTGTTGTCCTTCTCTAGTTGAACACATTTAGCAAATGTACCTCGTACTGTAGGTTATTATTGTGCCGTACAGTCTGGGGAATCAAATAAATCACTTCGGTTATCTTATTAATTAAGTCAAAAATAAATGTGCTAGAGCCAATTTATTATTTCCAAATACCATGGGATCTCCCACTGCAACTAATGGCATAGTCTGACATTTCATAGTCTTAACAAATAACCTGAAGTAATTCATTTAGATTTTTCCAATTAGTGATCATTTATGGCTGCTGTAACATAGTACATACACACATGCATTTGCATTGTTAGTTGAGCAGAACTGGTGTTGCACTTTTGTAGCGTTTTCTTTTGAAATACTACTAGTCGTCTTAATTATGATATGATTGTTATTAAAGAAATCATACCTTTTACATATAAAATATGTTTGGCTTATTAGCATTAAAGCGTTAGCCAGAAATAGCAGCGAATTATAATAAACGGAATAGTTATCACATTGTTTCACACCACACATTTGCGTTACTCAGGGTGGATTTCTTCACTGGTAAACACATTAGTAATTTAGCAAGTGTTCTCCCAGCAACAGCCCCAAACTGGTGATGAGGTTTAAAGCAAGAGTATAACCCAGGCATATGACAGTGTTGAACCTTAGTGGCCCTGCCCTCAACCGCCCCTCAGGCCCTCAGTGGAATAACACTTGATCCATAGCTCTTGAGTCTCTGTCCACGCCTCCCTTTTATGGCCTGTGGGCATGTGAAGACCCCGAGCCAGCCGTGCTTATCTGACCCTAACCTTGGCGTATGTTGACCTTGACCTGCACCTCACCCCTTCCTCATCCTCAGGGCTACATCTGTTCCTTTCCCTGGGACACCCAAGTAGTTAGTGATATTGAAACATCACCTTGGGGCTCCATTTGTTTTCTCTGGAGAGGTCAGTGAGGGGTTGTCATTAGGACTGAACTTGATCCCCTGCTTCCCCATAAATTGGTCCGCCCATGGAAGGAGTGAGCACACTGTAAATAATGAGCGTATAATCCTGAACATGAAACTGAATCTGGAAACTGACACTCTATACTTTCCCTTTTAATATCATATAGATCCACTTGTTCCCAGTCAGATGTGTTCATGGTACAAGAGAAAAAGTAACACATGTAGAGCAGAAATGTAGCTTCCAAGGCAGACCTTCATTTGCAACCTTTTTAGATGTAGTTAAACCTAGTGAAAAATGCAGTTATCCTTGCTGTCTCTTTTCTCATCAAGTAATTGAAACCACTTACAATGTATCTCCTGAAATAAAGCATACATTGTGTCAGCCTCACCATTGTTTTGGGGTGCTGTCATTTCAACTGATTGGTTTTTCCCGGGATGATATCTTGATTGCCCTTTATTATTTTGCTTAGTGTTTCAGCAATTCTGTGAATTGGCTGACCTTTTTGTGAGTCTTCTCTTTATTCTCTCCTGCAGAAACAAGTGTCCTTGCCATGCAGCTATACCATGGAAGACGGAGTCGGTATTAATATTAATGAACGGGTGCTGACAATGTCAAGTTTTAATGGATAATAAATTAAAGTATTCTCATTGACAATTAACTTTGTGTGGGCAATAAACATCACCCCAGGCAAGATGCTGTCTTTGTAAGCAATGATATTTTAATAAATTATAAGCGGGATTAAAAATGGTTTATTCTTTCCTGTCGTGCAGATCAAATTCATACCACACTCTGTAGAGGAAAGATGCGTTTGGGAAATAAAGGGAAAGAAACAAGGCCACATAGCAGTATCGTGTTCGCTAAGTACGTGAAAATGTATTTTCCATTTCTATCAGTCTCATGGTATCATATCACACTGGAGTCAAGAGTGAGGCTAAAGGTTGCAAGTCTGAAACATGGCATTGATCCTAACACCTGACAGATTTCTCTCTCTGTTTCTCACTGTCTCTTTTTGCTCCCTGTAATTACTTTGCTGCTTTTGTTTTTCTCCTTTTCATTGTGATATAAAACAAACCTAGAAACCAATACATTATAACGATAACAACACAATTGTTACCTAGATGTATTGTTTATGCAAGGTGTGTTATCAAAGACAGTAGTATAGGACAAATTATTTTCCTATCTTATTCTCTCTACTACATTGGCCCAGATGCAAGTCTAAAACCAAAGGTGTTGTCGAGCCCGGTGTGCTATCCATATCATAAATCAGACCTAACTGACATTTTTTTTTTAAAGAGAATGAATATCCACCCACTCTCTGTGGAAGGGCCATGGTATTTGTATGGTCAATGTGACCTTTCTCCATACCCTCTCAGATTAGGTGTACGACATAGAAAATTGCGCTCTTGCTGCAGTCCATAAATCATACAGGCCATTTTTTCCTTTAAAGAGGTATGTAAATACCAGTGTACTCGCTAGGTAAACAACACTAACCCTGATACAAATGGCTTGAAAATTGAAGAAAAGCACCTTATTTTTCAGCTGAAATTGCTTTTGAAACCCAGTCCTGGCACATGGGATGAAGGAGCCATGAAATGATTTGTGCTGGGGGAATAGAAATGGGTTGATGATAACCACACTCGACACAGTTCCTGTGTTGGGGAGTTCTAGCAATGATCAAAGATATCATTGTTGCACATTATTTCCCCCCATGCAGACCCCAAATGCATCAGTATCTGAAGTGACATCCACCCCCATGCACTCAGAGTATATTTCGTTTTAGGGGACAAAGGCCCTCCACCACAGTACAGCGAGGGTCGAGCTTAACCAGTCAGTCCTGCTGCTGCCATACCAGCCCTCAGAGAACTTGTATTATACATTGGTTAAAAATATTTGATATGTTATGATTATTTTGGTGTTAAAATGTTTACTTTAAATGCTATACTATGAAATATTACACTATAATATAATGCAAACAGCAGGAGAAATCGTGTTTCTAAATAAAATAGAAGCAAACTGACAAAAGTTTTTATAATTCAGGCCAGATATTTCAATTCCTACTCACTGTCAGAATAACAGAATGCAATTTTGTGCAGCAACTGAAATTGAAGAGAAATTCTTTGCCAAAGAAAGAGGCTTTGTTGTAATCTACAACAACAAATTCATCCACAATAGCGATCAGACTAGACCAATGAACAAATAGTACACAAAGGAAATGTTAAGCTGTGGAGTTTATTTGCAACTGTGATGTACAGAATAATGGGTCCCATTTGTTGGAGATTTATACACTAAATGTCTAGGTTTTCAGCTAATGTGGAGCCTCCTGCTCCTCAGTCTGTCCGCTCAGTCCTCGTCCATGTGAAGCTTGACTTCTAATACATGTAGACAAAAGGGTATTCAACTGGTCAGTGTGTTAACCAAGCATAATGAGCCAGTCTGTATCTCTGGCTACGTTGTGGCTGCCTAACAAGGCAAAGACATGGTCATTGCAGAATGCAGTGTTAAGTAGTTGTGACAGTATAGTTAACACTTCTTTTAAACCTAAGTATGTTTCCATGGCCTTTTTGGCAACTCATCAGCACCTGCAATCCTGCACAGTGAGTCTCAAGGAGAGCTGCAGGGCACAACCCACGACAGCCGGAGGGAAGACTAATTCCCAACATCTGGTACGAGCTGGTGCCGTCCGTAGTATCGCCGTAATCGTGGTATCGCTGTGGTGGACACTGCTTGGCAGCTTGTGGCATCAGACCACTGAAGAATCACCCCCATCGTGTTCTAAGCAGAATGGACGGAGAGCAAACTGTTTCATTTCAGCACGGTGGACCATTGATGCCTGCAGTAGATCCCCTGTTATCTAATCAAACAGCACTGGTCAGTTATGATGCCAACTCCTAAATCCACAGCCGTCTGTAAAGCCGTGGGGGGAGATTAACCGCTACAGCGCCAATGTCCTACATTCAAAGACTTCCTCTTAAGATCTCTTTTCCTGGAAAGTACAGTTATCCATACAAGCAAACACAGACAGACACACACACACAGACATACAGCCTAAAGTAAGAGTCCTTCATGCTGTAATGGGGCTATCACAAAGACCACACAGCTTGCGTTTTGGAAGAAGACTTGATGCTTTCTAAACCCTCTTTGTCTGAGACCACTACAATATCTCAAAGAGGCTTGAGCCTCCGCCGTCGTAGTCAAGCATTTGAGAATGTGTTTTTTTTGCCATATAGGTGCTGCCTTGTTTTTAAGATCCCCGTGAGCAGAAGAGAATAAGAACTCACAAAGAAAGGTGGCCAGAGACAGTTATCCTTTTGTCTTACAGATTGCAGCACCCCTAATAAGACCACGTTTCCTTCAGTTACCCTGCTATGTGAGTGCACTTCATTATAACCCAAGAAGCAGAATCCCTCACATAGCCAGCAAAGAGCTCTGGGCACTTTTTTAATATTTATATCACAGTCTGGTGTGGCAGTAATGATATTAGGGAGCTGACGAAATTCTCCACCCAGCTGGACATGTTAATTGAGAAGCCAAGATTTAAAGGCAAAGTTCACATTTGTGCAGATGGTGGGACAATGCAAGATGGCAGACCTAGGTCAGTGTCATTTCCAAGCTATACCTTAATGGCAGCAATTTTCTTTCTTCCTCTCTCCCTTTTTTCCTCAAGTTTGACACATACCAGTCCCTTAGGTCCCTATCAGTCTTTGGGGCTGGTCCCGTACCTTAGTGTCCTTGACGGAGGAATTTATTCCACAGTTGATATAATGGCAACATTCTCTGTCCCACCTCAACTCTCAGGGGTAGTGTGTCCATTTGTTAGCCATAGAGGAAAAAAGAGAGTACTTTAAAATGTAAATAAAAAATCATTGTCTTTTCCTTTTTTAAGTACAAATAGATAAATAGATATAGATTAAATACGCTGTCTCAATTTGATAATAATGAGCTTTCAGGGTGAAACACGTAAATGAAAAAATGGTTGGATTCAGCTTCTCCTTGGTCATTTCTATATGTTACGTACTTCCCAGGAGAACTATACCTGAACGTTGGGGGACATTGTACAAATGTCACACAAAAAAAGACCTTATTTCTAGCAAAGTGCCGTGTGGACCAAGTTTATCTCTTATTACTTGTCCTCTCACTCAGGGATCTGTCCTTGTAAATTACATGCTAAATTGTGATGTGGTAATAAAGCCATAAATCAATAGTATTTGTATGATTTAATATAATATTATTTAATTAAAAAAAGATGATCAAGGCTAACGTAAATTATAAAGTTATATGACAGCAGTGTAAAGAGTATAATGATTACACTGCATGCAGGCGTCAGTGAAAGTCACACTGCTGGGAAGTCTAACAGATGGGTTTATCCTTAGTGAGATGGATACTGTCGCACCACACATCTACATCAAATTAGAGTACCCAGAGTGAGTCCTCCCCCCGCTCTGACCATACACCGGAAAGCAGGTGTCTGCTTAATAATTTGGTCAAAGATCAGTGAGTTAAAGGTTGAGGCCAGGGGCAGAAAGGGCCGGGGTCATCCTGGTGGTAGGGAGGTGGTGAGACATGATCTCCTCAAGTCTGGAACAGCCAAACCCCAAGGTCATCCATTAGTGCTCTGCCCCATTGGTGCTGGAAGACCCACAATAAATTTACTGTGCACCCTTAACCCTTTTAATACTCACCATGACCCAGATGAGGAGATCAGCTCCCTTAGGGAGGGGCACATTACATTATTAGCACTGTGCATCCATTGACAGCTATTATATTCCAACAGTGTATTATGGGGGACTTCATACTGTAAATACTTCAACACAAAAACTAGACTAATGTGCATTACAAACATTTTATAACATGTTTGTTTAGCTGTAAGTTCAGTATATTTGAATGAATGAAATAGCCTGAATAAGTCTGCTTCTGAGTCGTGTTAATAATACTGAGTGAGATTGCATCTTTAATATAAATTACTGAAAGATATTTTAATATCTAGAATCCCTCCCCTGGCCATCTGTGATCAGTTTCAAACAGGGAGATGATAGTGTCAGTGTCTGGCCACATTTTTTGAGAACATCTGAGTTATGACTGATCATTATCTGGTCTTTCAAACAAAGAAAAACTTATCCACCTTTTAATGGGATGTATTTTTCTATTCTTACAAGAAAAGGTGAGGCTGCAGGGAAAAAGGAGAATAAAATGTCAACAGTGTCAACCACTCCCTTTAAATAGGACTCTCCTATGATCCCTTGCTACCATGCTCGGTCAAACCTTTCCAGGTGTCAAGACTGGGCGTCAGAAAAAGAAATTAAAGTGACATAGTGTTGACAGGAAGAAAAGACATTCCAGTTTTCACCCCTCTCAGGACAATGAGGGAGCCATCACCTCGGCTCAGACACAGGCACTAATGAATCAAGCAACACCTTAAGTTCTGCAGTGCAGGGGACTTTTGGCCGGGGGCAGCCATATAGTGTCATTGATAATGGGATCCTGCATTGGACTGCTGGTGATTTGATGTCTACCGCAACCTCTCCCATGGCCTGCCATTCTGACACAGCTTAATTTTGCCCCTTGCTCACGAAGACATCCTGTTAGATGGTGTTGCACAAGTGTTAGGTCTTCATCTTTCCTAGTTATATCTCCCATCTCAGAGGCTGTAGACCTGCAGTGTTTTAATAAGCAAAGGCTGCGTCGTTAAATGTATTTTACC